GGAAACGGCAGGCCTCAGAGACAGCATGGTTAAGAGCGGTGGACTCTAATCTGGAGAATCAGGTTTGTCCCCACTCCTCCCTATGAAGCCTGCTGGTTGACCTTTGGCCAGTCACAGTTCCCTCAGAACTCTCTCAGCCCCCACCTACCTCACAAGAGGCAAATTAATAAGATTCAAAACACAGATTAAAACACACAAATCACACATTTAAAGGCACTCAAGATTTAAAATACACAAGGGCTTGCAGTCACACGTGCTACATAATCCACTTTCAATGCACTTTCCAACTGGATTTTACTATGTGAACGGGCAAAATCCAGTTGGAAAGTGGATTATTTAGTGTGTGTGACTGCAGCCAAGAATTTACACATGCACATACTCACACGGGATTAGAACAAGCATAGCCACTTGTGCTGAAACACTTTACTCCCCACCAAATGCAGAACAAGAGTGCAGTAGTGTCCACAAAGCACAGCAAGAGTTCCCTCTCCCAAGGAAGGAATTATATAAATTTGCCTGCTTGAGTCCACAAAACAAGACTCTAAGTTTTCCCAGGCTGAGCTGGATAGAAGATGCTGGTTTTGCTCAGATTTCTAATCTTTAGACCTGAGCCAATTCCATTGACTGAGGCTGAGGTCACGAGGTCATCCTGCCATCTTGCTTTACCTCAAACTGTGCTCATGTCCAGAGATTATTCCAGAAACATAAGCCACTTGTACAGTTGAAATTAAGTAGGCTCAATCCTGTATGGGATCAACAATCTAGTAACCACCAGTAGCCAGTTACACGCACATTATCTTTGGAGACCTTGCTTCAGGTGCTCCTGGTGTTTGAGGGGTGACAACCTGAGGAAAGGCTTCCTCAGTCATGGCGGAGCGAGAAAACAGAGAGGGAAGAAACCCAACCACGGCAACAGGGTGGGTACTCAGAAGGCTGAGTATAACAAACTTAAAAATATAACAAGGGATTTATTACACAGTGTCACAATTAACCATTTAAAACTAATTGTAAAAATTAAATGTAAATGTACATTAGCACACACGGAGATGATGGATTCTTGGCCAGAGACAGAATAATTGGAGAGAGAGACTTCCGTCTTTGTAGGCTGGCTCAGAATTGTATATAGGCCTGATTTTCACATGGAACCTACCCTCATATTGAAATGCTACGAACCTGCCTGGCCCTTAATTTTTACAATTTGTTTTAAATGTGTGCTATTTGGTTTTAGGCCACTGAAGAAGGCTCTCAACAGCCAAAATGCGTCTGGTCTAGTGGCTTCTTGTGAGATATTCTGTTATGTGATTCATGTTCAGTTGACTTGCAATTTCTATAGGTTGGATTTTAGCACTCCTGTTTCTATCTTGTTTTTAATGGTTGTTACACCAGGTAATAAATACTTTGTTATATTTTTAAGTTTGTTATACTCAACCTTCTGAGTACCCTCCTCAGTCATGGCACCAAAATTGTAGAACTCCCTCCCCATGGATATTTGTCTCAGTCTGTTATTGCCTTCCGCCAGCACTTGTTTTGACATTCCCATACTAATTCTTATTAGCGCTTCCCCGTTTGTGTTTATGTGTTTAAATTATATTTTACTTGGTTTTTTTATATAGTTGTATTGTAAGCTTTTTAATGTCTGAAATGTCTTAATGTTCGCCACCCTGGAAAATCTGAACTGGGTAGAAAGGCAGAATAGAATTTTTTAAAAAATAAACATGCTCTTCTATGTTCTTCAAAATAGTGCAGTATCTCAAACATCCCTGGAATAATTTGACTCTACTCCCAAGTGTGGATGGCATCAAAAGGTCAGAGATTTGTGGAGAATAAGGTCCCTCAACAGCTGCTTATCATGCTGACTAAGCTTTTACCAGCTCTGGAATGGGAAATATCTGGAGATTTCCAAGGTGGACCCAGCGGAGAACAGGGTTTGAGGTGAGGGACCTCAGCAGGTACAATACCACCCTCTAAAGCAGCAGTTTCCTTCAGGGGAACTGATCTCTGTAGTCTGGCGATCGACTGTAATACCAGGAGGTCTCCAGGCAACCCTAATTAAAGGGGGCCTCCATCTACAGAGGAAGCAAACTTCTGTGTACCAGTGATAGGCGGAGGCCGCAGGAGAAGGCCTTCGCCTATATGCCATTTGTTTGGCTTTCCAGAGGCACTGGTTGGCCACTGTGTGGAATAGGATGTTGGACTAGATGGACATCAGGTCCAATCCAGCAGGCCTCTTCTTGCGTTCCTTCAATTGTACCCATTTGGAATTCCCAAAATATGGACCATCTGCTCGTCCCTCTTTTGGAATCACCTCTGTTTCTACGAAATGACCCCTGACTGTGTGGAATAGGATGTTGGACTAGATGGACCTCAGGTCCAATCCAGGCCTCTTCTTGCGTTCCTTCAATTGTACCCATTTGGAAATCCCAAAATATGGACCATCTGCTTGTCCCTCTTTTGGAATAGCTATTGGGCACGCACGAAGACTGGGCAACAGGATTTGAACAACAAAAAATCATACAAACCTGGTTATGTTGTAAGAGCCAAGGACTGTGAAAACCACACTGCTGAAGCCATGGTATAAGACATTCAAAGCATTATCTTGTTTCTTTTTTTAGTGACAAAGGAATATTAGGCAAAGAAAAATTTTGCTCCCCGAATTTATTCCAACGCCTGGTTACAAACACGTATTTGCATCAAAGTCTCTTTTACAACCAGCCTTGGCGTCGTTTGCTATATCTTATTATTAAGGTAAATATTCTTCAAAGGACTCTATGATTTGAATCTCTGATTCATTGTGACATTCTATTTGCTGACTGCAGTTAAAAAAGCCAAGGGGGGAAAAATAGCCCAAAAAATTCAAATACATTTTTTCCCTTTTTCGCTGTTGTCTTTATTGATTTATGCGTCAAAAAGAGACATCCAGAAATAGCATCTGTAGAAAATTACCATACGTTCCCTGCCGTCAATAGAGAGTTGTTATACATTAAAAATCTTTAAACATGTACGAAACAGTCATTCCAATCATTTTCAGGTGAAGAAAAACATGGAGGGGAAAAAAGTAGGGGAAGATGTGTTTTATTTTTCAACAGAAGCAAGAAAGGGGATCATATCAACCAGATCTATAGGCATAAAATGGAACAAACAACAGTGCTGAACCTGACTTTCTGTTGATAACGTTGTTCGGAGATGTAAAAAGGGTGCTCGTGGGATTGCAGGAAGGAAGAAACCTTTCAAAACCTGCATTTTGTGGGATGAATTCCTTTTTTGCCACCTTACAGCCTAAAGAGTAACCTTTGGTGGTCAACCTACACGGTGCAGATTCACATAGCAATACCTTATAGAAATAGGCTGTGTGAATGATCATCAGCTCTGGCATCACATGTTCAGCATGCCATGCCCTGGAAGCCTTGACACAGGACTTCTGGCAAACAAGCCCACAGAATAAGACAGCCTTTATTCACAAAGTGGAATTCAGAAAAGCAAGCTCTGTAACCAAACTGGATCAGGAACCATGGGACTGCCATGCGATGTCACACCAAGATCCGTTTTGTCCAGCCATGGCAAGAGGGAAGCACAGAAGAAGAAGAGGAGGAGGAGGAGGAGATTGGATTTATACCCCGCCCTTCACTTGGAGTCTCAGAGCGGCTTACAAACTCCTTTTCCTTCCCCTCCCGACAACAGACACCCCGTGAGGTTGGTGGGGCTGAGAGAACTCTGACACAAACTGCTCTTTTTCAAGGAAAGCTGTGCCAGAACTTGTGACCGACGTCCTGCTCTAGGCGACTGCCTAGTTCGCCTAGTGAGTGAGCCGGCCCTGGATGGAAGCACTTAAGTGGGGTGCCAATAGCATAATCCTCTCCTTACTGTAGAGTCCCTGCACCCAGTACTCTATGCAGTGAAAATGCAGCTAGCTGTCATGGTTTTGAATTCTTGGCATTAGAAGAGAAGAAGAAGAGATTGGATTTATACCCCGCCCTTCACTACCGAAAGGTGTCTCAGAGCGGCTTACAAACTCCTTTCCCTTCCCCTCCCCACAACAGGCACCCTGTGAGGTAGGTGGAACTGAGATACCACTGATAGAAACTGACCTTTTTCGAGAACAGCTCTGACAGAACTATGGCTTGCCCAAGGTCATCCAGTAGGTGCAAGAGGAGGAGTGGGGAATCAAACCCGGTTCTCCCAGATTAGAGTCCGCACACTTAACCACTACACCAAACTGGCTCATACATTAACTTAACTCATACATTAACTTAAGATGATCCAAACAAAGTAAGGAAAGCAATCCCAAATGCTTTCATTGACTTAAAATTATTTGGCAGAGAATTTGACACTTGAATGGTGGTCTGGGCCTGGCTGGGGCGATGGCCCGTGTGCCCACAGAGAGGGCTCTGAGTGCCGCCTCTGGCACCCGTGCCATAGGTTCGCCACCACTGCTGTAGACTATCTTTCTCCTGATAAGACCCAAAGTGGCAATCATAAAGGGTATGACACCAAAATCCTGGACATAACAGGAGAGCAGGTCAAGGTTAGCAACGCTGTGATTGCACTGACAGTCTCGATCACGTTCCTCATTAGTGGTACCTTCCGGAAGTGAATGCAACAGGAGCAAACAATTCAAAGAAAGAACCACCATGAGAGGAAGTGGAGGGGGGGGGGCACTGTGATAATCAAAACCCAACCAGGGATGTGTCACAAAAAAGGGGGGGGTGTCTGAAAAGTAAGTCCTGGCATATCAAATTATGTTCTAGGGAAACCTGGGGTTCTTACCAGTTTATGGGGGAGGGCAGGGTTCTAAACGAAAAGATTAATATTAGCAGACAAGGCTGCTATTAGCCACAAGGTATAGATGGAGCACTATGTTTGGGGCAGTGATGCTGTGTATTCTTGGTGCACGGGGGGGGGGGGGGAAACGGGGGGTGCTGTTGGGCGTGCCCTATTATGCTTATGAGTTCCTGTTGGACGTGACCAACTCGGGAGCCAGCCGGAACTCCGTTCCTGTGTGTTCCTGCCCAAAAATAGCCCTGGCTTCTCTTATGTTCTTAAAGAACAGCTTGCCTACCACTTACTGACCCCTGCCTGGTATGTGCAGCTGCTAGGGAACAATTGGATGTATTCTCGGTCTCACTCTTGTCAGTACGGGACAATCGTGAGGCATGAAATGCCCAAGATACTCCGCAGTAAACAGACAGCATACCCCAAGGTACACTACACGGGCTCCGTGACAGACATTTAGAGACTCCTCAGCAGAAACAGCAATGTGGAAATGGTTCTTGCGAAGTAGGAACATGAGAAAACAACGGTGGGGTATGGCAATCACAGTGGTAAGAGCGGCCGTTTTCCATCACATAGCTAAGCCGGCCATGATCAACTTGTATACCATGGAAAAGGTCACAAAGTAACCAATTCCCCAAGCTAATCCTCTGCAGGGTTGGGGAAGGGGTATGACGTAGGCAATGGTGTGGAAGATTCGAGCCCCAAGGAAGATGTGGTAGTGCCACCACGCGGTGGAGTAGGAAACGCCACTGATGGAGTAGAAGAGCCCAATGACGGCAAACGGAACGATGTTCTCCAGATCATTCAGATGACTTCTGGGGAGGAAGCAAAGAAATTTCACAGTATTTGTTCACTTTCTTTTTTGGTCATTGCTCCCAATTAAAGCCATACACACCCCGCCCCGCCCCCCAAGACCCATCTTCGCTGAGTAGTGGCAAGCTACAATGCAACTTCCATCAAATTGTTGCTCCTTCCTTGAGCAAGGCGGTTAATGACAGGACGTTTTGAAGGTCATTAATTCATAGTATACCCCCTGAAGAGCATTAAGCTCTAGAGATAAGAACCTCCTAGAGAGAGCCAGTTTGGTGTAGTGGTTAAGTGCACAGACTCTAATCTGGGAGAACCGAGTTTGATTCCCCACTCCTCCACTTGCACCTGGCTGGATGACCTTGGGCAAGCCATGGTTCTGGCAGAGCTGTTCTTGAAAAAGAGCAGTTTCTGTCAGAGCTCTCTCAGCCCCACCTACCTCACAGGGTGTCTGTTGTGGGGAGGGGAAGGGGAAGGAGTTTGTAAGCTGCTCTGAGACTCCTTTGGGTAGTGAAGGGCGGGGTATAAATCCAATCTCTTCTCTTCTTCTGGTGATCCCTGGCCCGAAGGATATCCAGTTGTCCTCAACCAGAGCCAGGGCTTTCTCGGCCCTGGCACCAGCCAGGTAGAACTCTCTGTCTAATGACATCCATGCCCTGCGGGACCTAAAACGGCTCTGCAGGGCCTGTAAGATGGAGATGTTCTGCCAGGCCTATGGCTGAGGTCTACCACCAAGCCTGGCCTCCCTGTCTACATAATGTCTACCACCATCTGATTAGTTGTGCTTACTACTAGTTTATCATTTTAAATTTTAATCTACATATATATACCGTGTTTCCCCGAAAATAAGACACTGTCTTATATTTATTTTTTCTCAAGAAGACACACTAGGGCTTATACCACAAATGCATAGAAATCCTGCTAGGGCTTATTTTTTGGGTAGGGCTTATTTTCGGGGAAACAGGGTTGTATGTATATATGTATGTGTATGTATTTATTGAATTGTATTTATAAACTGTTGTAAACTGCCCTGAGCCCCACTGGGGGGGAGGGCGGCATAGAAATCACATAACAATAAATAATAATGACAGGGTTGCCATAATTCAGAAGCGAACTCATGGAACTTCACACACACGCACACACACTTGTATATGTCGATACCCTTACATATTATCTTGAAGGCAAGCTGGTTCAACAAAGACGGCAGCATTTAATAATTCAACCACAGCACAGGTAGCAATGAGGGGGGAACCCCCCCCCCCATGCTCTGACTAGCCCCAGTCAATGCTCCCTCCAAGCTGTGGGGTCTTGTGAGCAAAAATTCTACTTTGTGAGCTGCTGGCATTAAAGTTGTGAGCGAGCAACTTGGCAACTGCATAAATCAGTTTGCTCTGGAGCCAGCCTTCCTGAGCTCAGACAAAAATGTGTGAGCCGGAGGCTAAGTTTGGTTTGAGAGCCAGTTTTGTGTAGTGGTTAAGTGCGGGGACTCTAATCTGGGAGAACCGGGTTTGATTCCCCACTCCTCCACTTGCACCTGCTGATGTGACCTTGGGTCAGTCACAAGCTCTGGCACAGCTGTCCTTGAAAAAGAGCAGTTTCTGTCAAGAGCTCTCTCAGCCCCACCTACCTCACAGGGTGTCTGTTGTGGGGAGGGGAAGGGAAAGGAGTTTGTAAGCCGCTCTGAGACACCTTTGGGTAGTGAAGGGCGGGGGATAAATCCAATCTCTTCTTCTTCTTCTCCTTCTTCTAAAAAACTGTGAGCTAGCTCACACTGACTCAGCTTAGAGGGAACGCTGGCCCCCGTCTCTGAACACTGCTTCATTCCTCAGCTCCACTCCCTTAGTGGCATGTAAACGTATATATCTGTACGTAGGCAAAGCAAACAGAGACTTCAGGTCATGCTGTAAAGCAGTGGTTTTCAATGTGCATGTTTCAGGCAACCTCAAAGCTTTTTAGAAGCTTATCAAGTTTCCTCTGTCAGTGGTGGTGGGAAGTGTTGTCAAGCCCCGGACAACTGATGACAACCCCATAGGTTTTCAAGGCAAGAGACGAGCAGAGGTGGTTTGCCATTGCCTGCCTCTGTGTTAACTACCCTGGACTTCTTTTGTGATCTCCCATCCAAGCACTACCCAGAACAGACCACATTTAACTTCCAAACGCTCGTCAGGGATGCTCTAGGCTGATCCTGCACTGAGCAGGGGGTTGGACTCGATGGCCTGCATAGCCCTTTCCGATTCTAGGTTCAGGATAGGGCTGCCAAGTGGGGGCGGGTGGCGGGTAAACCCCCGCTTTGGAGGCCCGATTTCCGCCGCAGCGGAATCGGGCCCCGGGGGGAACTCCGCCCCCCAAAGCGCAGCATGGCTGCGTCACCAGAGGTGACGCAACCACGTTGCTCACGTTGGGGGCGTGGCCCCGATCGTCGGAGGGAAAACTCTATGGTTTTCCCTCCGACGATCGGGACCACGCCCTCAATGTGAGTGACGTAGCGCGTCACTTCCTGTGACATGCTGGCGGCGCGCTTGCGCACATCGGCGGAGAGCTCCCAGAGCCCGGCGAGGCTCCCCCGGCGGTAAGAGGAATCAACTTGGCAACCCTAGTTCAGGACAGACAAAAGAAATACTTCTTTACTCAGGAAGTAATTGAACCATGGGATTCACTGCCAATGGAGACAGTGATGGCCACGAGCACAGATAGCTTGAAAAGGGAGTTCGACGCATGGAGGAGAGGTCCATCAGTGGCTACCAGCCACTGGGACTGAAGAGAGCCTCCCGACATAGAGGAAGGAAACCTCTGAATACCAGTGGTGCTGGGAGGCGGCAGCAGGAGAGGGCCTTGCCATCCACGCCATCTTTGCTTGGCCCTCCAGGGCCGTTGTGTGAAGCAGAATGCTGGACTAGATGGACCACTGGTCTGATCCAGCAGACTGCTCTTATACACCTCTACCTGTGACCCTGGAGCAGGTCGGAGCAGGCAATACAGACCTTGATAAACTAATGGTCTCACTCCGTGAAAGGCATCTGCATGACAGACTAACCTGGGAAAGGGGGGGGAAGGAACATTTACAGCTGCTTTTGGAGCTCATCTTTAAAGGCAAACGAATAAAAGATAAAAGCTGCTAGTGGCAGAATTTTCCAAACTCCGCATTATAAAGCTATCAAATTTAGGAGCTCCGTTAAGCCTGTTCATAAACCCATAAATCCAGCCAAATGAAAGCTGCTCTACAAACAGACCTAATTTTCTACAATAAAAGAGTTTTCTCCAGCCTCGGGACAGCTCAGATTCTTGCAGAAGGTATTCTCGATCGCTGATGAAACTCTAAAGTGTTATTACACGTTCGTTGGAAGTCAGCTTCACGCATGCACAAAAGTTACCTCAGTCAGAATCACAGAGTCCCGAGCTCCAAACTGAAGAGGATTTACTGATTTCATTCGTACCCTGCCTTCCTCCCCAAATTGGGATCCGAAGCGGCTCACATCATTCTCCTCTCCTCCATTTTAGCCTCACAACAACCCTGTGAGGTAGGTTAGGCTGAAAGGGTGTGACTGGCCCAAAGTCAACCAGCGAGCCTCCACGGCACAAGCTGGGATTTAGATCTGGGTCTCCCAGTTTGGTGTAGTGGTTAAGTGCGTGGACTCTAATCTGGGAGAACAGGGTTTGATTCCCCACTCCTCCACTTGCACCTGGCTGGATGACCTTGGGCAAGCCATAGTTCAGTCAGAGCTGTCCTTGAAAGGGCAGTTCTTGAAAGAGCTCTCTCAGAGTGATGCTCTGTCCTTGGTGCTTGGGGGGGGGTCAACAGTGGGAGGGCTTCTAATGTCCTGGCCCCACTGGTGGACCTCCTGATGGCACCTGGTATTTTTGGCCACTGTGTGACAGAGTGTTGGACTGGATGGGCCTTTGGCCTGACCCAACATTGGCGTCTCTTATGTTCTTATCTCACAGGGTGTCTGTTGTGGGGAGGGGAAGGGGAAGGAGTTAGTAAGCCGCTCTAAGACTCTGAGTGAAGGGCGGGGTATAAATCCAGTCTCCTCCTCCTCCTCTTAATCACTGCACCACACTGGCTGGATAGCAGATAGGTATGTATAATCTCTCAAGCCCCTTCAGCCAATACCCTATTTCTTCTCAATCAAGCCTAATTGTGATCAAAGTCCCCCAGATTACCTGCGTATCCGCTCCACGTCTGGATCACTCCGCAAATACTTTTTTGCTAACTCGCCTTTCCCATACACTGACGCATCTTCAGGGTTAGCAAATGCCTATTTGAGAGAAGGGTACACGGGGGGGGGGGGGGCTTCGATTAAAAAGAGGCCTCGTGGTGCTGACCGTAAAAACTCTCTCTGCTCCCACCCGCTCAATCCAGAGATCACAGACATACTGTGGGCCAACGCACTAAACTACAGAAGCAGAACAAGGAGTGGTTAGTGCTAATTCACGCAAATGTAGATTTATTTAGTAGGTTTTCCCTCGAGATCACAAAACAATTTAAAAGCGCACAGGATTACACGTCACAGTGAAACATCAACAAGACACAAAGCAACCAGAACATCAGGGAGTCCACTGACTTTACTAGAAGTCCTTCTGGAATAGGTTCAGTGTTTAAGGGATACCAGAAGGCATACAATGAAAGTGCTAAGTGGAACACACCGGTGTTGCAACTACATTTTAGCCAAGTAGCTGATCCTTAGAATTCAGTATTTCAGTCAGGAGACAGAATGCATTCCTTGCACTGGCTGGTTTGTTGAGCAATGCTGAAATTTCAAGAACTGCCCTTTCAAGGACAGCATTCAGGAACAACACCCAGAAAGTGACCTCCCCTCTAATGATTCCACAGCTTGGGTAGGAATTAGGGTTCCCAAGAACTTACCGTGATCCGGCGGGGGAAACATGCTCCCTGGCTGGACCATTCCTCCCTGTAGCACACCATGCCGTTGCCAGGAAGTGACGCTGGGCGACGCTCTGGCAATGGGACTGAAAACTCGATGGTACCAGCGAGTTTCCAGCTCCATTGCCAGAGCGTCGCCTGGTGTAGCTCGACGGCATGGTGCGGCGCGTCTGTTGTCCCTGCAGGAATGATCCTGTGAGGACGTCTGTGTCCCCCGCTGAATCACGGTAAGTACTTGGGAAGCCTGGTAAGAATACACAGCTGCAGGGAGTACTTTGGATCCGAACAGCTAAGGGGT